AGGAGAGAGGCTAAAGCCAATAGCAAAGCCCAAAATAATAAACTTGAGAGTGAAGGAAGCCCCTGATGATCAATTTCTCTGTCACCATACTGTTTCCTGGTAGGGTTGGGAGTGTAAAGTAATGGAAAATGCCGGAGTCAAATGTACTGATGATCTTTACAGTTTATATCATGTTTTCAGAACTTCTCCCTCTTGTTTCTTTCTGTTTTTCCTCCCTTCCCAGCTCCAGCCACACCCTCTTTTGCATATGAACCCAAGTTCAGCAGCTGGAAACACTGTTGTTGACTGGCTTCATTCCTAGAAAATTTGCTTGCAAACAACAGTGAAAAGCTCACTGTGAGAACATGATATTTTTATTTATGACTGCAGTATTCCACTCTGCTCCTACTCCCTTTAGGGAAAGGAAATTGTTCCTAGTTATTTTGGTCTAAAGTTTTTCAGACACTATAAAGCATAAAGCTTTTATGGGAAAGTCCATTCCAGTTAATAATTCCAAATGTATTTTATGGTAAGGTATGACTCTCTAAAGGTTATATTCTTATGTAAGAAATAGACTTTATAACAACAAAACCCTTATTGCATTTCCAGATGCGGTAACAGCAGGTGCAGAAAGAATTCCTGGGTCAGCAGGGAGAGCAAGAAAACCTCTCAGAGCCAGTTTTCATGATATGCAGAGTAACCTATGTAGCAAAATAAACCTTGAATTCCCAACAAACCCACAGTCAATGAGAGCTTCCAGTTCAAAAAATGTTGCCACCATCCTTTCACTGTGACAAATAAATCCAGAAACCCATCCCTCACGTCTGCTCTTCCCCACACATATACCACTATTTCTTCTTTTCTTTTCTCTTCCGCATGAGTTCGATCCCGCCTGCCTGCCCCAGAGGTGACCCACACGGTGCAGCAGACCTCTCCTGGCCTGTCAGCTACTCCCCTCAGCAGTGTACTTCGTCAGTCGGCCTGTTCTGCTCCCCACTCTGTTCATGGTGAATCCTCTCACCCTCCGCATCTCTGGCCTGTACACCAGATCTATATGCATAAATAAATAAATCTTTAAAAAAAAAATGAATGAAGAGGCCCATAAGGAGAAAAGTGTATGTGAAAAGTAAATACAAAATTATTACTAGCCGTAATAATGCTTTGTAATGCTTTTTTCTAAGCCATTACACATCATGTCATAGTGTCTGCATTTGAGATAATAGCTGTGCAAATACAGATATGGGATAAATATTATCAAGTTTAACAGAACACTAGATGATGCACAAATATTTTTCTTCTTTGGACTTCCTTTTATAAATTGTTGGTCATGACTCACTGAACCGATCAACCTACATTTATAAAATACTGCTCTCCTGGGCAATAATAATTGTTAGTTTATTAATCTTTGTTCCAGTAAATAACCCTAAAATTAATTTTATTAATTTTATTTTTTAACACCAGGCTTCGTGTTCAAAGGATCTACTTTTAGGATGTTCTTTAGGGATGTCTTCTCCATTTCAGCACCCATGGTCCAAGGGTCATTGCAGATGTTACCATATAGAAAATCAGAATTTACAGCCTTTCCGTCACTGTTTCTGACATCAGCCCTAGATTCTGAGCTTCTTCTCACCACCTTCCCTCCCCACCAGCCCTGCTGAGACATTTCTTAAGTTAAAGCTTTTATGAGAAATGGATGGCATGTAGCCATCTTGGGTTATGAGTTAAGTGATATCTGCAGAGACTCTCACTGGGCTGGAAAAAGCTCACAGAATGATGGAAAATAGGCACAGTTTAAATTCCTTATGACAGTTCATAAAATGAACTACAATACAGTGGTAAAAAAATAACAATCTGTGTGTTGGAAACCAGTATGTGAGGCATATTCTTCAGTTGAAAAGAGTAAGATAAGACACTGCAAAGGATAGACTTCCATGGGCTTTTACAGGGAGACACACATGCATGTATGTGCATAAAATATTTGTGGAAAGTCTTGTAAGATGTCAGTATTAGTTTTGCCTCTAAAGAAGAGAAATAGAGAACTGGGACTCTGGGGTAATGGAAATTTATTATTTTTGATAGCTTTTTCAGAGGGGTCAAAACAATTTTGTGTATTTACATATATTCCTTTTTTCAATTAAAAATGGCTAACATAGGCCCTCCCTGGTGGCGCAGCGGGTTAAAGCACAGCACTGAGAATCTAAAGCCACTTCCGCATGAGTTCGATTCCCGCCAACCCCGGAGGTGACCACATGGCATGGCAGACCTCTCCTGACCCGCCCGCTGCTCCCCT